CATTTCTTTAAGTGTTTCTCTGCCATTCTGTATTCCTCTACAGAGAATTCTCTGCTTAGCTCTGTTCCCCATTTTTTAACTGGATTACTTGGTTTGCTGCTTTTCAGCTTCTTTAGTTCTTTATATATACTGGATATTAGCCCTCTGTCAGAAAAAGTGTTGGTGGGACCCAGACTAAAATGCTCAATCCCCATCCCGAAAGGCAAAGAGGAAGAACATCAGAAGGAGAACAAAACAGGAAACAAGCTGGAAACCCACCACAGAGGGCCTCTGAAAGGCTCTGCATCTGCTTTGATAGTCTGCAGGGCAGTACTACACCCAGGCAGGTGAGCCCGTAGTGAACTGGATCTTCCTATATCAATTAACAATCAATATCAATCATAATATGCATGATTTTTGATCATAATATGCATGCAAAAACAGCTGATGAGAAGAAAAGAGGGCACGAGTTTGAAGGAAAGCAAGGTTGGGTGTAAGGAAAGGTTTGGAGAGAGGAGAGGGAATGAGAAATGTAATTAAATGACAGTATCAAAAATAAATAAAACGAAAATGCACCACAGGACAACCCAATGGAGAAAATTCTCCAATTGACATTCTTTCTTCCCAGGTGATTCCAGTTTTTATCAGTTTGACAAAAACTAAACATGTAACAGTGACTATTTTCCCTTTGTACTCCAAGTACAAGGAATTACCTGAGAAATCTCCACCTGAACTAAGCTGATAGGAAGACTTCTTCCAGGTGGATATTATTCATAGGTGTATAAATAGCTGCACAAGAGAACAAGTTGGTTACATAGTTTCAGGAGATTAAAAAGAAATCTAAAATTCAAACATGAAGATTATTAAAATGTTATCTGATTGACAAGTGAGCATAGGACTCCCTCTAACTGTGCAGCTTTGCAGAGAATCTAGCTCAGTATTTCTCTCTCTCCCCCTTTCTCTCTCTCTTGATCTTTCTCTCTCTCTCTCTCTCTCTCTCTCTGTGTGTGTGTGTGTGTGTGTGTTCAAAGTATTCTAAATCACAAAGCTTTCAACATTTACACGGGTTCTCGGGGGTTGACTCAATTACTCTATTTGTATGGCAAGAGGTTCTTGGTTTTTATTTTGTTTTGTTTTTGTTGTTGTTGTTTTGTTTTTAATCATCTAAGCCATTACCTAAACTGCTGGAGCCCACTGGCAGAGTTGAACAGTTCTTAAGTGGGGAGAAAGGATTGAAAGAAAATTTAAAAAAGCAACACACTACACATGAGATCAGTTTCAGAGGGCTGCCAGTAGAAAATGTCACCCTAGTTTATTCCACAGTTCCTTTTCATAGTCAGAGCAAAGCACCTCAATACAATGAAGGGATTCATGGAGAAGTCAAATTTGTTTACCTTGACCACTTACTTGTCTGTGTGATCCTCACAGAAACAAAAGGAAGTGAACTTGGCAAAACATCCTGCCTATTCCTGTCTCCAGGGGAAAGCCAGAGTGAAAACATGTTTTTCACTGAGAGCTCAAAAGCAGTCTGACAAACAAGCAGCTCTCCATATTAAACCTTTACTAAAATCTTCTTACAAGAAACTTTGGGTCTCAAATACACTTTAAAATAATTTGGTCTATGAAAACTATATATTGGGAGTGAAAACTGGACAAAATACATGCTCATGATGGCAAAAAGTCTAACCTAAACAGAATTTATTTAATTTTTCTTATCTCAAGCTCTCCTTTCCAAAGCAAAATGTGACCAAACTCAGCCAATTCAGTAATCGCTTACTTTCTTTGGGGGAAAACCATGCAAATGTCTTAGTTAATATAAACCTACTGTTATGCCCAGTTTGTGAGACCCACCCAAAACAACCAGGAATCAACTCCACTATAAAACACATGAGGGTTTATTCAATACAAGCTCGAGCCCTGGTTGCAGAAACCTACCTGTTGAAGAGAAGGAATGCAGTGGTGCAGTCTAAGGGAAGAAGGTTTTTAAAGGGCAAAACTGCAAGCCAGGGCAGGGGTGGGAGGGACGGGACATGTCCAAGCCTTGGCATTACATGCTTGGGTAAGGAAACTGACTTTTGAAATGATTGGTTTACTTTAGGCACCAAGACCATAAACAGTTCTGGCCTGGCCATCTGGGGGACACCTGATCATGAACAATGCCTGGAATGTGCTGATCGGCTGTTGCTGCAGAAAGGGAAATGTTTCTGGGGGGGGGAGCATTAGCTGGGGGTATTTGGGTGGATTGCCTGGAGCCAATATCTCTTAAGTGGTTCTGGTGAGGCCATCTGGGCCAGTTTCCTACCAATGGTATCTCTAGTGGGCAGGAAAAGAATGCTGTAAGTCTAGTTCCTCCCTGCAGGTGGCTAGACATGTCTCCATCAGTCTGGCCTTTGTTCAGGCTTGTGCTTTAAACTTTAATTCAGTAACCCCAAAAAACTAATTCTTAATTCTTTGGCTTTCACTACCCTCTTCCATTCTACCCTTTCCAGGGAGGATGTCTAACTCTGAGAAGATTTGCATGGAATCCATTCTCAGTATGTGTGTTTACCAGCCAGAAGCTGGTCCCTGCAAGCCTTGAGTGTGTCAGGAACACAAGTGTTGTCATGACATGGAGCTGGGATGTGTTCATATCAAAAGGACCTTCATATCAAAGAAGGTCAGAAGACAGACTTCCAGACACCCTGTTGCTACTCTACTCCCTTTGCCTAAAACACACCTAATGCATCTTATCTCAAAACTACATTACAATGAACCACTAACTAAAACAAATGACTCACGACATAATCAAAGCTTTCAGTATGGTTATCAGTGTTTTCATTTTTAGGACCCTGTGCAGACCACACAGTCTTCTCTGATGTGAGTGTTCTGTCAAAGACACATGCATATCACCTTCCTCTTAGAGAATATTAATGTGCCTTGTTGGTATAATGTTGTTTTAAAATGTATACACCTTACCTTTGTTCATTCAAATGCTGATTTCTACATACACACACACACACACACACCCATTTCAATCTGGATATTGCATTGTGATACTCATTCTAAGCATCCTGTCTCAATTCTTGTGTAAACAGGACAAAATAAAGCAACTAGACACAATGTTGAACTGGGAGGAGCCAGAGGACAGGAAAGAGGGGAGGAGCTAGAGGGCAGGAAATGAATGGGAGGAGAAAGGGTGGAGGGATCTAGGAGAGAGAGCTAGAGGAGAGATCTTGGAACCAAGTGGAGAGATGGACTGGACCTAAGATATCACTAAAAGCAAGTATAATGTGGGAAATCTAAATGTTAGGAAACTATGTGGGCTTGGAGGTTTAGAAAATCATGATCTCTTGTGTGGTGATTTGGTTATGCAGCTGTTTAGGACTAACAGCAGGATTACCAGAAGATATATCAATAGTAAAGATTAATAGTCGCCTACAAAAGTGCCTCTTCTATTACTGTCCCCCAACCCATATACAATGTATGAAACAAGAGAAAGGGAATATGGAATGAATTCATCTACTTCATTGATTATTGGCCTTATTTCAAAGATTGAAGTCAAAAATTCATTAATCAAGAGAGTGACCCAGAGCTGCGCATGGTGGCATGTATTTAATCCCAGCACTTGGGAGTCAGAAACAGGTTGATCTCCTTGAGTTTAAGGCCAGCATGGTCTACTGAATGGTCTAGGACAGCCATAGCTAGACAGAGAAACCCTGTCTCATAAAACAAATCAAATCAAAACAAAACAATAACCCAGTCACTTAAAGTGCATATACTCATTCTTCTGGGATAGGTTTTTGTTTTTTCTTTTTCATTTTTTTTAAATTAAATTTTTATTTTTTTAATATTAGTTACAGTTTATTAGCTTTGTATCCTAGCTGTGTCCCACTCCCTCATTCCCTCCCAATCCCACCCTCCCTCCCTCAGCTTCTCCCTGCCCCTTTCCAGGTCCACTGATAGGGGAGGACCTCCTCCCCTTTCATCTGACCCTGGTTTATCAGGTATCTTCGGGCCTGGCTGCAAAGTTGAACTCTGTGGACTAGCAGGGTTGCTCCTCCATCGTGGAGGGGGCGGGGAGGTCAAAGAGACGGCCATTGAGTTCATGTCAGAAATAGTCCCTGTTCCCCTTACTAGAAAACCCACTTGGATACTGAGCTACCATGGGCTACATCTGAGCAGGGCTTCGGGGATAGTTTTGGCAGAACTCTCTCTTATTCACTGTATGAGTTAATGGCTCGGAATGTAACTCAGGACTTCATCACTGATCCATAAAGCTCATTTTCCTCAGTCTTTATTGACTTTTGAACTAAGAGAAGACTACAGTAACATTAAAAAGCATTGAAGACAGACCTTCAGAAATGTCTCTTTGAATATGTCTTCAAATAGCCCTCACAGGTTTTTACCCTCCCATGTCTGTCAGTGTGAGCACAGAACTAACTTTCAGTCCTAACTTTTTTGTCTATCATGAGGCTACTTTACTATGTGAAAGCACATTAGACATCTTTGTTCAAAGGAGAAAAGATTATTGTTTTCTTATAAATTGATCATTACAACAGCAAGTGCATAATTCACCTTTATTTCCAAAAGCATATTAGTTGCTCTAATTTTTTGTCAATATTAAAAACACAGAGATAACCAATGACAGCAGTTGAAATTACAGTTAATCCATCATTTGAAGAATAAATACAGATCCTTCAAAATGTAACACAAGATGAAATTTACAATTAAATTAAAATTTCAGTAAAAGTATGCAATTTTCTTTTCTGTTCTATAATAAAAAATAAATAAATTCTCATTTTTCCCTAAATCAAGAAGGTACACTGAGAATGCTAAGATGGTACATATATTTTAAATATAATCAGAAGACAATAAAAATTCATAAACAGTGCTCATGAGTATTGTTTAAATGAAAATCCATTGATATTTTACTGCTTTCTTGGGTGAACTCATATTCACCTTCACACTTATCATTCTATATGCCAAGAAGAAAATGAAATAAAAATTTTTGATTTTCCGAGAATGTAAAGCTATTTACTCTGTTATCGGTACTGTAAGAAATTCTGCAGCAATGTTGGTAACTGGAGCTGGGAAATGAGGTGCAACCTTTGTCTTCCTATGTAGTTGCGGATACAGAGTCGGCAGAGCTGGCAAAGAGAGCTTGGGGTAGCTACAAGGAGACATGAACATATTTATTAAAAACAAAATTAATGTTTTCATGTGGTGAGATGTGTTAACTAAAAGCTTAATAACAGTAAATTAATTTGGCTAGTGATAAATGCCTTTCATTATTTATATTGCCTTTATTTAAGAGATCTTGAGATATATTTCATGAGATTCCATGACTGAGAAATGTCCTATGCATGTTTTTTAAAGCACTATAGTTCATAGTACATATAGTCCATTGAGGTGACTCTGCACTTATGATCACTTGCTGCTCCTAAGAGGACTTGAGTTTAGTTCCCAGCATCCACATAACAGCTGACAATCATCCTTAACTCCAACTCCAGAGCATCTGGTACCCTCTTTTGCCTTCTGAAGGCACCAGGAGTACAATGTATTTACATGTATGCAGGCAAAATACTCACGCACACAAAATACAAATAAATAGTAAAAGAATATTATCTTAAAGATTATAAAATTACAGTTTCACTGAAATTTTTAGAACAAATTCTCATCTTTAAAGGAGATCTAAATAAAAAGAGCTAAGATATATATCAAAAAGGCAAATTGTTAAATTACAATTATATTAAACTAAGCTTTACAAATTTTGTTTAAGAAGTCTTAAATGTAAAAATCTTTCCCAAAGAACATTCACCATGCCTTATATAATGGGGCAGGAATGAGCAAGGATGGAGCAATGTTGGTAGACTGCTTGCCTAGAATGCATCAAGTTCTAGTTTGATCCAGAGCACTGGATAAACTAGGCATGGTGGTACACATCTATAAACCCAGAACTTGAGAGGCGGAGGCAGAGGATTAGAATACAAAGGTTATCCTTGGCTATCTAGTAAGTTCAAGGCGAGCCCGAGATATAGGAAACCCTGACCCCAACCCTCCCGTTCTCCACCCTCCTCCAAAAAGTAATGTGGGGTAAGAAGTGGTTGGGGAAGGATTCAGGTCTTAGAGATGTAGCTCATTGATAGAGAATGTCAGTTTTTCACAAGTGCTGGTGTTCCACGTGCTAGGCCTATAGTTCAATTACCCAGTACTCAAATCTTTTTAAAAAATAGTTCATGTCAATAAAAGATCTTCTGGTGGTATCTCTATCCCTGATCTCAAACTGTAGTACAGAGCAACAGTAATAAAAACTTTATGGTGCTGTCATAGAAACAGACTGGTGATCAATGGAATCAAATAAAAGTTCCAGAAGTAAACCCACACACCTAGATATACTTGATTTTTCACAAAGAAGCCAAAACCATACAATGAATAAAAGACAGCATCTTCAACAAATGGTGCTGGTCTAATTGGATGTCTACATGTAGAAAATGCAGTAGATCCATATTTAGCATGCTTCACAAAAATAAAGTCCAAGAGGATCAAAGACCTCAACATAAAACCAGATGCACTAAATCTGTTAGAACAAAAATTGGGTAAGAGCCTTAACCTCATTGGCACAGGAGACAACTTTCTGAACAGAACACCAACAGCGTAGGCTCTAAGATCTATCAAAAATGGGACCTCTTAAAACTGAAAAGGACAGGACACTGTAAAGGAAAGGACACTGTTGTCAGAAGAAAACGACAGTCTACAGAATGGGAAAGGATCTTTCCCAACCCTATATCTGACAGAGGGCTAATATCCAGAATATATGAAGAACTCAAAAAGTTAAAAAAGCAACAAATCAAGTAACCCAATTAAAAAATGGGGCATAGAGCTAAACAAAGAATTCTCAATAGAGGAATATCAAATAGCAGAGAAACACTTAAAGAAATGCACACAGTCCTTAGTCACCTGGGAAATGCAAATCAAAATGACCCTGAGATTCCATCTCACACCCATCAAAATGGCTAAGATTAAAAACTCAAGTGTCATCACATGCTGTCAAGGTTGTCGAGAAAAGAATCTCTCCTCCATTGCTGGTGGAAGTGCAAACTTGTACAACCATTTTGAAAATCAATCTGGTGCTTTCTCAGAAAACTGGGAATAGTGTTACCTCAGCTATACGACTGCCAGGCATATATTCAAAAGATGCTCCACCATACAACAAGGATATTTTGCTCAACTATGTTCATATCAGCTTATTCATAACTGCTAGAATCGGGAAACGACCAAGATGTCTCTCAACCAAAGAATGGATACAGAAATTGTGGTACATTTATACAGTGGAATACTACTCAGCTTTTAAAAACAAAGAAATCATGAAATTTGCAAGTAAATGGATGGATCTGGTAAAGATCATCCTGAGTGAGATAACCCAGATCCAGAAAGACATGCATGGTATATACTCACTTATAAGTAGGTATTAGCCATTTAATATAGGATAAACATACAAAAATCTACAGGCCTAAGGAAGCTAAACAACTAGGAGCACCCTAGGGAAGAGGCTTAATCCTCATTCAGAAAAGCAAATGGGATAGACATCAGACGTAGGAGAAGACAGGGAACAGGACAGGAGCCTTCCACAGAGGACCCCTGAAAGATGCTACCTATCACGGTATCGAAGCAGATGCTGAGACTCATAGCCAAACTTTGGGCAGAGTGCAGGGAATCTTATGGATGAAGGGGGAGACAGAAAGTCCTGGCAGGAACAGGAGCTCAACAAGGAGGACAACATAGCCAAAAAATCTGGGCTTATGGGGTCCTGCACAGACTGATAAATCAACCAAGAACTATGCATGGAGAGAACCTAAATCTCCTGCTCAGATGTAACCCATGGGCAGCTCAGTCTCCATGTCGGTTTCCTAGTATGGGCAGGAGGGGCTGTCTCTGACATGGATTCTGTCAGAGACAGGGTCACCTCCCTGTGGTGAGCTCTTAAGTAGGCCAAGGAGAAAGAGGATCCAGCCAGTCCTAATGAGACCTGATAAGGTCAGATCTTAGGGAAGAAGGACCTCCTCTATCAGTGGACTAAAGGAGTGACATAGAGGAGAAGAAGGAGGGAAGGTGGGACTGGAAGGAGACGAGGGAGGGGGCTAACAGCAGGGATAAAAAGTGAATAAATTGTAATAAATAATAATAATAAAGAAAAATGGAAAAATTAAATAAAAAATAGCTCATGAGTAAATACTGTCTCAGAAAACTACATATTATGACATTGTTGAAACAAGTTCAACATATTTTACTAAAGGCATATAAAAGCTTAGATAAAATAAAAATAATGAAATCCTCATATTTTCCTTACATAGGACCTAAGTTAAGTTTTTTTTTTCACAATAAATACTTAAGATTTTATGACATTCTTACTTCATACGGTATCAAAGCACTTTTCACTTTCATCTATTTTTAGGAAGAATATTTTTGCATTTACAAACATTCCCATGTATTCTCCCTACCTTCATGTTGAAGAAGTGTTCTTTCTACAGCACTGTTAGATGGAGCCACATCGATAGGCCGCAAAAGTTCCATGTTCTTGGCATTGATATCTGCGCCAAATTCTAGCAATAAGTTCACAATTTCAGTACTCGGTTGTTGAGCAGCAGCATGTAGTGGAGTGTCCCAGAACTTGCCTTTATGGACATCAGCCCCTATACGTAAACAGTTAGAAATTATATAGAAGCAGTTATTACGTGAGTAGGTACCTTTGTAAGTTAAAAAAAAAGGAAGACAACTTGGGGAAGGGTACAAAATGGACCTGTATTATTCTCAAATACTTTTATGGATATGTTTTCTGACATCTAGAAAGATGTCAGAATAGAGAGATTCATAATTTTGAAGGGGTACTTATTTCTTATTATTGTGTGTGTGTGGTCTAGATGTGTGTGCAGGTGTGTATGCCACAGGACAACTTCAAGGATTCAGTTCTCTCCTTCCGTCTTCATATTGTATCCAGGGATAAAACTCAGATCATGAGGCTTACAAGGAAAGAATCTTTACCCCACTGAACCATCTTACCAGCTTAAATGCATGATTAAGTTCTCACATACCTATTTTTACCCTAGGTAATAGCTCTTAAAGTTATTTGGAAAAATAACACTTTCAGTTAAGGCGTAAAAGTAATGGGTTTCTTTGAAAACTCGTGTGTGTGAATCATTTAGCTAAAATGTATATAGATTTGCCTGTCGATTTTCACTTGTGTAGCTTCTGTAGCAGAAAACCACTTTCATGATATCTGCATACAAAGTCAAACTTTTGAAATGTTTTCACCAAAAATCATAACCCTATACAGGCAAAATTCTCTATTGTCTAGTTATTCATCTTATAACTTACAACTTAAAACATCTTACAACTCTGGATCACAAGAGTAATTCAATGCCTGTGTAATAGGCAGATTATATTTACACTGTGAAAGTATAATTATACCACTGTCTAGTATATAAATGTCCAGAAACCAAGAAATGCCTACGAATAAAAATCATACATTCTTTCTAAGTTTCTGATAGTTTGTAAAATTATCTATCCCAGCAAGGATCAGTTTACCATAAGTTCCTTCATAGCTCTCTTGCTACTTTCAACTTCCATAGAAAATGTAAGCTTTCAGTAGTTTTTAAACAAATATAAAATGTTTAATGCAGAAATGTTTCTTGGCCAAATTTCCATAAAGAAATCATAAACTTCATTGAACTTATCAGTTTTGTCAGAGCAAAGGGGACTGAAAATAACAACCAGTCAACCATTGCAAACAGCAATATTTCAGTGTTTTTCTTTTAATTTTTTAAGATGTATTTTTTTTATTATTTATACAACATTTTGCCTGCATGTATGCCTACACACCAGAAGAAGGCACCAGATCTCACTATAGATGATTGTGAGCCACCATGTGATTGCTGGGAATTGAACTCGGGACCTCTGGAAGAACAGCCTGTGCTGTTAACCTCTGAGACATTTCTCCAGCCCATTTCAAATTTCTTTAACATATGTTAAAGTATTTGGTGAAAAAAAAATTTAGAAAAATGAAGAGTGATAGAGTATTAACTTTATTGGTTATACTAAGTTTATGGGCAATTTGTCTAGAAAATAATAATCTATCAATATTAACAGAACTCATGTTTAAGACTATGTGCAATATGAATAAAATAGTGAACAGAGGCCCTGCCTGTAAGACATTTATAGGTCAGCTAAGATAATGTGAGTGATACATAAAGCAGTTGCTGAAATTACTTGTGTGAATATAGCAGAATCAAATGATAGCTGCAAAAACAATTCACAATATTAAGACCTAGTGTCTCCTTCATGCATATTCTTAGGATCTATCACATGACAGAGGCATTCTTCTTGGGAAAATAGATGATGAGGGAAAGCACGAACCATCCTGAAGGAGTTCCTAGCTCTAATGTGGGGGAGACCACCATCATATGAATGGGTTAGGATTGTTGCTCATGGAGCACAAGCTGACTTTGAGGAAGTTAGTCATTTCATGTAAGTGGAGAAGGTAATCAGCCTTTTCAAGTAACAGGACAGAAAGTACAAAGCCAGGGACAGTCCATGCGCTTTTATGGTTGGTAGGCAATAAGGGTATCCAAGTACTTAGCATCCCTAAATGTTTATAAGATTTGTTTTTATATACATAGCAACATTATATTCAGTCTGGAGAATCTTAATTTTATGAATGATGAGCAGGAAAGGCTTTCAACTCAGTTAATGTAACAAATGCGTATTGATGACCCAGAGGCAGCCCATACAGAGTGTGTTTACCAATCTATGACCTTTGAAGTATTCTCATGAAGTATATGTTTCCTTAATAGGTTGTATATGCATAAGTGAAAATGTTTACAATAAGAACGTTTTAGCAATGAGATGTTACTTTTAAAAGAAGCTGATTTTGGTGAACACATAATCATCTACATATATAGATAGAATAGAATAGTACCAGCATAAAGAAGCTTCCAGATGCAGTGAAACTGCTGTGACATACAAGCTACATAAAGAGGAGTCCCCAAGTGAGGAATGTCTTGGTCAACATCTATGCCCCAGGCTATCAAAATGTCGAGGCATTCATGGTAACCTGCCAACACAAAGAAAAGACACCATTACTTTTTATTAATACTCTTCCCTTGAACATGCACCTCCAACTCGTGTTTACAACAGGAGTATAATTCATTGAAAGACAAATAGGGCTGTGCACATCCAGAGATATTTTCATTTTATAACTTAAACCTGTTAACAAACCTTTACTGGCAGCCTCGTGTGTTGGAGATGGAAAACAGGACTCGAGTTGAGCTTTGGCACCATATTCCAAAAGGAGTTCTGCACAGCAGGCGCTGCCTTGTGAGCATGCATTGAACAAGGGAGTCACACCATCTATTGTGATTGCGTTTACCTAAATGAAACCCAAAACCTGAGAATGAGATTCAAAAATCAGGCAAGACTAAAGAACTTGTTTATGCGGTACCAAAAGTTCTATGGTTTGCTAATGTGGAGCATGAATATGACAATGTGCATTTACTTCATACATTTACATCAATGAACAAAGCTTTAAACCTTCAAGAGATAAGTAGAAACATGATGTGGAAGGAAAGTCATAGGAATGGGCACCTTACTGTTGAAATTCATTGAAAAACCAATATTCAAGCATAGAACCTAAATAAATACAACAGGAAGAAAAAATGTTGAGCTCAAGTAAGTCGAGTAATAGTGAAGGAAACAACAGGGCTACTTGACTAATGACGTTTGAATATGGTCTATTGGTTCTATTCTGAGATATCACGGTGCGTGTGTGCGTGTATGTGTATGTCTGTCTGTATGTATGCATATATGTATGTATGTGTTTTGAGAGGATCTCGTGTCACCTGAGCTAGTTTCCAACATAGGATGATCTTCAACTCATTCCCCTGCCTCAAAGGATCATGCTCATCTTGTTATTTTGATTCATGAAAACAGAAAATCTAGAGAGCCTCAGTGCACTACTCTACACAGTGACTGAGAATCCTTTGCAAGAGTGTCCTGAGGAGGCTGAGGCGATTCTAGGGCACCGTTTGTATTGTTACATTTTCAACACCGCCATGAAAGAAGGAAAAGGAAGGAAAACGAGAACTTGGCTTCTGTTGGTCAGCAGATGTGAAATTTCTACTTTACTGTTTAAACTTACGTTAGCCCCAGCTTCCAGAAGGGTCCTTGCACATGCCACATGATCACCTAGGCAGGCCTCATGGAGTGGGGTGACATGGTCTATCGTTACTGCATTTACATTGTGGCCCTGCAGAGAGAAGAGAAGGTATATATCATCCCAGTAAATGTCGCAGGGACTGTTTACAAGATCAAAGAGTCCAGCCAATTGGTTTCTGGTTCAGCACTTGAACCAGTCAGCTATCAAAACTCCTTAACCCCTTCTCCTAGTTACATACCATACACAGGTTAGGTTACTATGATGTCACCTGGCCATTTCTAGAACTCTGTAATTTCAGCTAATCATTAGCCAGTCTTCAAGTCAGCTTTTTTTAAAGCTTTTCTGCATGTGTGATTATAAAATCAGGGATCAAGTTTTAATAAATTGCTTTATAAATGCTCTTCTAAATAGTTATTCACTTAATAGCTAAGATTAAGTTATACAGTAAGGTTAAGAACTATGTCTTCAAAATTAGACTTGTGGTTAAAGCCTGATCCACATAATAATCATGGAAATTTGAACAAATGCTTTGAGTTCTAAGTTTTACAGGGGTCATGAAAGTTAAAAGGGATAATACTTTTACAGCAATAAATGTAATTATCAGTGGGTGGAAAGTTAAAGGGGATAATACTTTTACAGCAATAAATGTAATTATCTCTTATGTAAATAAGAGATTACATTCTATTCTAACTTAATAAACACTGTGTTTCAACTCAGCTTACAAGATGAGGTTAAGTCATAGGAAATTATTAGGATGCAAGATTCTTTGGCTTCTGGGAGATTATTAGTAATTCATTGCCCATTATTGATCATTTTACTAAGAACTTTACATGATGTTTCAAGGCAAGATCCTCCCAATATAGTACTGAGTACCAGATGCTGTAACCCAGGAGCACATGAAGGCTCAGGCATAGACAAGTGACACTGCATTGTTGCTAGCCTGTTGAGTTTTTTTTAATTTAATTTAATTTTTTTTACAATTCATTCATTATATATATATCCCGACTGAAGCTCCCCTTCCCCCTCAACTAACAATCCTCTTCTTTTCCCTCTTCATCTTTTCCAAGACCTTGAGTTTCTAGTAAGCAGTTTGTTGTGAGGAGCTGCTGTTACACCCTAGTGTGACCAGAGAATGGAAGCACACGAGAGGGCCCTGTGGGAGACTCTCCCTCTCCCTGGCTGGCATGTCTTTGCAGAGGAGACACATTGAGAAACACAGGGACTGCCTTCCTCTGAGAGCATGATGTGACTCTCTCCAAGAGATTATCCTTTGAAACCACTGACCTTTTTATTCAGGTCCTCCCCCAACCATGGAGTGATGAGCAGAACAGTCACATGGCTGTCACAGGACTGGACACTCCACGGGAACACCTTGGACACGTCTTCATGTTACAGGTGAGAAAATGAAACTAGGGGTAGGATGTGGCTGCCTCAAGTGTCAGGTATTGTTCCAACTAGGTTGTTAAGAACCTCCCTTTCTCATAGCCATCTGAGAAATTCCTTCTGGTGTGACACTGCGAATCATTACTGCCCCCATACGAGTATACACTACAGTCAGACAGGAGCTGAAAATATGTAATGCACTGATCTGAGCTAGGTCACTTTCTGTTTGCAGGAGTCAGTGCTTTTCTTTCTTCCTCTGCTTACTCTGATGAAGTAGGCAAGTGTAGAAATGAATGTTCTGCTGCCTTACCGGGCAGTTCAGCATAATATTTCACAAACTATCACAATGTAAAATATGCTGTTTCTACATCTGATCTTTGGAGATATTATATGACTGAACTAAATCTACACTTAGCTGTACTACTACACAAAATTGAGCATATTTAGAGTGCTTAATAAATAATGTAAATAAAATTACTAATTAATATCACTAATTAATTAAAAGCACTAATTAATATCGTTATTAATAGCCAAATATACTATAAGAGAAACTTGAAATAGAAAGAAAGAACATTATAACAAAAGATTCATGAACAAATTTCAAGATTTCAAATTTCATGTCTTGTCTAATTCAAGTTAGAATAAAGGAGCAGTATTAACACTTGAGAAAGTTTATTGCTCTTGAATGGATTTGTTTTGACTGTGTTCTATGATAATGGGAAGGGAGCTTATTTTGAAGTACAATGTAAAAGTTTACTTGTGATAATAATGTCCTCAGAGCAAGAAGGCGACCTTGACTTGCAGCTTCATGCAGTGGTGATCGATCTGCCCAGGATCCTGTCAAGAATGACAACAAAATCGTGTGGGTCAATGTAAACTTTATTAGGTTCAATCAGTTCCAATATAATATAAATTATTTACTTGCAGCATTTAACAAGGTGACTCGGTTATTGTTCCCATATCTTAGGAAACACCTGAAAGATCCAGCTAGTGAGCCTGTGAATCAAGATAGCAGGATATGTTCTAGAATTTACTTACTTTAGACTTAGAATATCTATTGTATTTTCAACTAAGGAGGATTGGTCACAAAAAAAGTTCCAAAGTTGGGACTACATGCTTTCCCCTATATAACCAAAATCATATTTATTTACTGTATTTTCAGCAGTGCTAGCAGTGGATTCATGTCTTCACATTCTGAGCCTGTTCCATCACCTCTCGTAACCTCAGACCTCAAACCATCCTAGTCCTGATGTGCATGAGATACAACATGTTGCTAAGAAGGTCAAGTAGCTGAGCCCCAAGTCTGAAACATGATACAGCCTATATAGGTCCTTGAAAGGGTTATCAAAATGACACAGAGTCAACTATTTTTCAAAACACAACAACATTGTCAACAGCTCATTGGTAGATCATTCATTCTCTATGTATTTGGTGTGGATAGGCCAAGGCACTTAGCACCCAACCTAGATGTCATGGCTCCACATTTCCTCTTCTCAGGTATCTCTTATACACCACCAGCCAGGAAAGGTAGTCTTCTTGCATGAAGTCTTCTCTCCTCCTTCCAAGAGAGACATCAACTGCTCCAACTCTCTCTCCCTGTGGTCACTCTAGCAGTTATAAAGGATGCTGGGTCCATTCATCATGATTTTCCTGAAATTAAAATTTTCCTGTCCTGCCTCTGTTCATTTACTTTACTGGATATTTTAGATAATATCAGAGGTTTTAATGTGATTAAATAAGCAGCGTGGGATTACACAGATTCCAGAAAACAATTATTTAGATAATTTTTAAGAAATGAAAGCAACACTGACTAAAGAAAAAATATTTATAAAATAGAATGATTATGGATACTAATATCTTCCTTCCTCTCTGCTCTTCTTCCCTTGTTAAATCCAAAGGATTTATCATTCTTAAGGCTGATGATTACTATTACTACATAGATTGATATACTCACTTGAATATCCATCAAAAATGCAAGTTCTAAGAAATACCTAACTGAGATTTGTTTAAATAAATTATGAAACTATTGGAGATACAAGTACAGAAGAATGCTGAGTTTTAGAAGTATTTCACCATTTCTACCTTTTCAAGAAGTCAGAAATCTATGTGATTCTACCTATGATTTAGTATTATAATCTTGTCACAAGCTTGACCAGAACCCGATAAATGATATCCAAATAATTCCACTAACCAAAGTCTGGATACATGTGACAAGGAAAATAAGTGAACACATGAGTATGACACAGAGGTTTCCTTGAGGTTACCTACCAATCAACAATGTCTTTATATCTAGTGGCTTAAGAGTGTTTTATTGAAAATATAATTATTGAGGTAGAGGGGAAAGAGTACAGTTTTCCTTTACTGTTGATGTGTAAGTCATGGCGGAAATAGTTAATGCTAAATAGGCTCACTATGTGTACGACACTAGTCTAAACACTTTTCATGTACTCTAAACACTTTATATGTATGTACTTCCACATACATGCAAACTGATCTACACCCAGGCACATAACACACACACACACACATTCAAAGAAAGAAAGGAAAGAAGGAAGAAAGGAAGAAAGAAAGAAAGAAGGAAGGAAAGAAAAGAAAGAAGAAAGAAAAGAGAAAGGAAAAGACAAGAAAAGAAAAGAAAAGAAGAAAAGAAAAGAAAAGAAAGAAAGAAATTTGATGGCTGGTGAAGTGGCTCAGCAGGTAAGGGTTCTTGTCAACCTCAGTAGGATCCCTGGAACCCACGTGATGGATGGAGAAAACCAATTCCACTAGTTGTCTTCTAACCTCCATATATGTGCTGTGACCTAGATTCCAAGATAAAATGTAATCATACACATTTGTTCACTAAACACTTTAATGCAAAATGAAATGGTGGAGAAAATGTAGATCAGTGCTTACAGTGGAACACTCAAGCAAGAAAATGTTAGCTTTCAAAGTAGACTGCATATTGAGAAGTACTACACTCAGTTTCATCACCGGAGAGGTAGAAAGTCACTGAGTTTCAAATAATCAATGCTTAGATATATGACTGAATTCAATCGTTTATAATATTGATGTTAGGTTTTCAGTTTCCATTTAATGCTGTGATAAAATTCAGTATTTTTCAAAATTATCCTAAAGACAGATGCCAAACGATACGATTCGACCTCATTCTGACTCCCTTTTTTTTCTCACCGTTGCTAGCTACCAAGACAAGCAGATGTTGAGATTGGTAAAGGCCTAGAAAAATGACCTTTGAAGTTTATTTTAGGCCCAAATCTTTCCAGCATTGTAAAAGCCTTCAAGAAACAACCGAACTAACAAGGTTTGCAGCTGAGGGCCCCTCCACAGCTCTCCCAGGAAGCTCTCCTCTGAATTCTAATGTTCCATTCACTAGAGTGACTGTGCTGAAGTTCAGAACAGCTGCTCCCATTTTTGCCGAAATACGTAACTGCATTACCGTTTTTCTTTCTGGATGAGTCGATTATGATACATACATATATAAATACACAAATTAAAAAGTCAAAAAAATGAATCAGTCTATTAAAGAAATAATTTATAAATATGCATCCACCCTATAGAAAAATTATTTGTTAGCCAGGTCCCAGATAAATAAATAAATACGTCAATAAACTAACCAATCTATTAAAGAAATAATTATAAATATGCTCTCCCCCCTATACAAAAGTTTTTTGTTAGCCAGGCAGTGATAGCGCACACATTTAACACCAGCATTGGGGGCCATGTCAGGCAGATCTCTGAGTTGAGGCCACCCTGGTCAACAGAGTAAGTTCCAGGACAGCAAGGGCTACACAGAGAAACCCTCTCTTGAAAAGCAAACAAACACAAACCAAAAAATTATTTGTTTTAAATTCCACTTGACTAACTCCCAAACAGCCTCACATCACTTGCTTTGTCTAATTTCTTATATTTCTGTAATTAATCTTAGTAACATGAGAATCAAAGGCTGTTAGATCATGTTCCAATTTCTGTTTCAACATGGTTTTACCCATTCCTGCTTTTCTCTGTCAATATCAGAAATGTAGCAACTACAAGTTACAAATATCTATTCAAATATATTTAATGTTAAGTATCATACTTTTCTGTATGGACATGAATTATATTATTTTTATATGCTTTTTCCAAGATCAAACAAGACATAAATATCTTCACATATAGCTAATTTGCAATCTTTCAACCTTTGCACTTTGAGGATAAAGGGCAATAAAATCCTTACTTGAAAAATATTCAGCTTAACTCATCAAGCTCAATTATCAGCACAAAATTGTTTTTACAAAATATCTGTTACTTTCATCATATTGCTACGGTCTGTGGCACTCTGCAGGGGTGACGGTCTATATTTAGAAACAGCACTAGTTCCCAGACATCTAGTTTATTATTACATGGTGAGAGCCTGCTCCGCTTGGTAAATATCACATCACAAGATAAAAACATTCATAGCTTAATATCTATACACATACAGTTTTATAAAGATCTATACCATACCTAAGTCACCATCTCCCCAGGGCACTTCAAGCCAGCCACTGCTGAGGTAAATCCGACTCATCTTTTTTTAGTAGCATTAAAAAAAAAAAAAAAATCACTTGTCATTACTAGCTGTGTTCCGCCATTTTAAGAAGCTCAAAGCTCTTTGTAATATGATGACTTCTTATTTGTTTTTTTTTTCTCACTAATTGCCCTCTTTGAGAAATAGTAACCCTAACTTATTTTTATACTTAAGACTATGGATCCTGTCTTGAAATGAAAGCATTTTACTTTTACTTCTGTCCCTGGCTACAGTGGGATCATGTTGTTATTTAAATAGTCTTTGACTGTTCAAACTTTAGCTCCATCAATGAAGTGACTTATAGATTCACTTAAGAGTGAAGGATGGAAACAAAAAAAAAAAGGAGTCAAGGATGTAGAGAATGGGGGACTTGTGGGTTTGGATACTGCTCTTTTTGTTGTTGTTGTTAATATTTTCCCAGATAGTAATTGCATCACACTTACCCTACAAAGAAACTGTAAGCAAGTGAGTATCAGTGACATTTTCACAAAACTTTTCCATTTTGTTGGGAAGCATTAAAGATTTTTATAGCTCCCTTAGTTTTAAATTCTTAAGTCAACCTTGTTCTTTGCAATGGGTGTGGATTCACTACGAATCCAAGGTAACAAGTTTAGGACCACAGCTGACTAGAATCCTTTGTAAAACTCTGTAATTTCACAATTTAAAGAAGTCCCCAAACATATGTAAGCTCCAGCCACAACAGATTTTGGTCCATCCTTTCTCACACAAGTTTACAAACAAGTCACCAGGTACTTGATGAGGTATGTTGTGTGCCTTCAACAAACCAGATTAACAGAAATTCCTGAGGATGTGCTTACTTGAAGGGAAGTAATATGCTGTCAAAACCAGTGTCTTCAGGAACCGAGACTGACCTCATTGTTCTATCTTGTCTCCTCTCTGAAAATTTCCTTACCATAATGTTAACCTAGATTTAGCTAAACTCTCCATTGCTGCAGAATGGCCTACTAAATTACGTTAACATGCAACTTACTATAGTTAATTTCTTATTGTTCACCATGAGTAATTCATTATCTCATAAGGCAACCCATACCTATGGGGCTGGACAGAAATAGAAAAGCTAAGGAAAAGAATAAAACAAACAACAACAACAACAAAAAAGTTACAGTTCATCTTAATGAAACGAACTGAATGTTCAGTTTCTTCACTGGTTTGTTTCTTCTATAAATATCTCAGAAATCAAGGGAAATGACTTTGAAGATCTTTCTCAGAAAAAAAAAAAAAGCTTAATTTGAGGCAGATAATCTAATCACACCAGGCAACCACTATAGCTCAG